GGGCACGGGAGATTGAATATATTCAGCAAGTGATTAAATAAGTAAATATAATAAGTATAACACGTGTCAGAGAAAGGAGCTACACATATGGAAAGGGGAAAAACTAAAGTGAACCCAATGAGTAGGACTGGAATTGGAAGTATTGGTGTAGATTCATGGTTTTCAATACATGGAGAGAGGTATAGAAATAAATACAGATGTAAATGTATGTGTTTGGTGTGTGTGTGTATGTGTATATCCACCCATATATTCCCTAATTCTTTCCTGAGAGAGGCACTAGGAGCAGTGATATACCAATCACAATAAGCACACCATTACCTAAATCCGGGTTTCTAAACACCATTTTTCACTAAAAGAAACTAAGCCTCCTTGGAGAAATGGATGATTCTAGGGCCGGGCAGGAAGAGTACAACATGATCTTGGATATTCCTGTGCCAGAAAGCAAATAATTGTTCCAAGAATGTTAGAGACATGTAAAAAGGACACAAAAGCCAGCCTGTAGCATCAAATCTGGTATAATTTGACTATCAAAATAATGATAGTAATGGATTATTCCCCACTGAAGAACATGAGAAATCATGAGTATACACAGATATCAATTAATACATAAACAAATTAAAAGTTTAGGAAGCAATGGAACGGTTACCTAATCTCAGAATACCGCCCCACAAAAGTATTAATTACAATAGGAAAAGATTAAGCCTTGCAGACACCGCCTTATTTAAATGATCAAAGTGAACAACATTGGTAAGAGGACAAATTAGATTCATGTGCTTTTATGACAATCTTGCCAAAGATGCATAACCTTAATGTAATTATTTAAAAAAATCAGACAAACCAAAATTTGGGGCCATTCTACAATATAATTGGCTTAGACATTTCAAAATTTTAAAAAGGGAAACCTGAGAACAGTTCCCGTTTGATGGAGAATAAAGAAATTTGATAATTAAATGCCTCATATACTTTTTGAATTGGATCCTTTTACTAGAAGAGACATTGCTGGGACAACTGTTAAAGCTTGAATTAGTGTCTGAGAGTTAGATGGTCGTAATGCACAAATATTAACTTCCTAATTTTGATGGTTATATAGAAGAATGTCCTTGTTTATATGTACACATTAAAGAATTATGGGGAGATGGGACATCAGGTTGGCAACTTATTTTTAAAATGATGACGGAAAAAAATGTTTTTACTGTTACTTGTAACTTTTGTGATTCTGTCAAAAAAAATTTTTTAAATTAAATTATAATCTCTCACACAAAATATCAAATGTTGGTGAGGCTGTGGAGTAGCTGTTCCACACTGTTGGTGGGGGGGTGGGGGTTAAATAGTAAACCACTTTGGAAAAATGTGTGTCTGTTTCTTATAAAATTAAAGTTCTACCACCCTATGACCCAGTAATTCCACTCTTAAAAATGTCCACAAAAGGATTTGTCCCGAGTGTTCTTAGCAGGTATATTTGACAAAGCCCCCAAACTAGAAAGAACCCAAATGACCATCAATCAGTGAATAGATAAATAGATTGTGGTTTATCCATACAATAGATGCTATTCAGCAATTAATAGGAACGAACTGCAGATATACAGAACGACATGGATGAATCTCAAAATAATTATGTTGAGTGAAAGAAGCCAGACACAGATGAGTTTATGTTTATGATTCCATTATATGAAGTTCAAGGACAATCAAAACTAAACTATAGAAATTAGAATAGTAGTTGCTTTAGGGGAATGGAGATTGACTGGAAAAAGGCCAGAGAGAATTTTGTGGGTGCAGAACTGTTTTATATCTTGATTGGTTGGTGGTTACATGAGTGCATATATATTAAAACTCATCAAACTGTATACTTAATATCTGTGCTTATTATTCTTGTAAATTATACCTCAATTTAAAAAGCTTTGTGATCTACGGCGGCTGCTGCAGAACAGCCAGGAGAAGAGTGAAAAAAAACAAAAATAAAATAAAAAGCTTTAAAAAATTAAAAATTGTCTATGGCCATGTCACTCTGAACAAGCCCGATCCCATCTGATCTCGGAAGCTAAGCAGGGTCGGGCCTGGTTAGTACTTGAATGGGAGACCACCTAGGAAGACCGGGTGCTGTAGGCATAAAATAAAATAAAATAAAATAAAAACAAAAATAAATAAAAAATAAAAAATTTAAAATTCACTAAATCATCAGCAGTGGTTTTCTCTAGAGGGTAGATTCTTTCACTTTCCACATTATGTATGTATTTCTGAGGTGTTTGAACTTTTTTCAACAAGCATATCTTAATTATTACACAATTATTACACAGACAATTTCTCTAAAGGGTGCTCAAGTAAGTAGTTATTTTAGAAAAAAAATTAAGTTAGATCTTCTTTTAATAGATACCAAAAGAAAAAAAAGTTCAAGAAAGTTGAAGAGTTGATATATACAATCAAGTCATAATTGTTAATTAAGCCATAAATAATAGAAAGTAAAAGTTAATATTTACCTGATTTCTGAATGACAAATAAACTTGCATGCTTAAAACAATGTTGGGAATCTAAAGGAACAGATTTTTGCTGCATAAAAATATTGATGTATAATAAAACAAAAATTAAGTGCAACAGGAAGTTGGGGGATTTATAAAAACATAATATTTGACAGATATATAGGCAAAGTATGTGAATTCTAGAAAGCAAATAAGAATGGAGGGAAGGAAGAAGGGAGAGAAAGGAAAAAAGAAGGAAAGAAAAAAAGAGTGGAGAGGGGAGGTGTGAAGGGGAGGGAGGAGAGGAGATGGGAGGGAAGTTAGGAAGAAAGAAAAGGAAGGGAGGGGACAAAAATGGCTAATCAACAAGTGAATAAAAAGTAAACCTGAAACTTTACCTACCAAATTAGCAAACTTTTTTTATAGTAGTTGAGAACAGTCATAGAATGGCAAGACAAATTCTTGGTCATTACCTGTAGGAGTGTAAAATTGTCACATTTTTGGAAACAAATCTAGCAATATGTCTTTAATATGTTTATATTCTTTGAACCAGAATGGCACTTTTTGGAATGTGTCTAAAGGAAGTAAAAAAAAAAGTCGCTCTTTTCCGGATTATTCATAGTAGTCAAAATAATAAAAATAACCTAAATAATAACGATGGGACTAATTCGTTAAATCACGAGACAGCTGTTTGGTGGATTATTCTACCTTTAAATAGTATGTACAATGAGTTTTTAACGACGCGTTTTTCTTTTTTATGCTTTTTGAAATGATCATGATAAATTAAAGATAGTATGGCTGGTCTCCAGTTTGGCTCCTAAACAGACATTCTTGGTTGGTGAAAAAACGCTGTCGGTCTCTAGACATACCACATTTCCACCCCCTTTCACTGCATTTCAAATATATTAAACGTTAAATGGTACCTCTGCCCCCATACACGTGTATTGCTCAGCGTTCGTTCAGGAAAACTCAAGCCACTCTACGTCTTTTGGGTACAAAAGGTTTAATACAGCAAAAGGGGCTTACATGATTGTTGGGAGAGCCGAGAGAGCGGACCTTAGGGCAGCTGCTGCGAAGGTAGAAGTGAACGCTGGAAGACTCAGCCTGGAGCGGGTGGCTCCTGAGAACTTGCTGGGAAGCCTCGGTGACTCTCACATCTGTGCAGCATCTGGCTGTCACCATCTCTGGAGAATAATAGGTTCCTTTTTCCTTCTGCCTTCCAAATTCACCCCAAATTCCTTGCATGCAAACTGCAACCTGGAGGGGGGAGCATTCTGGGAAATGTAGTTCTCTGCTGCTCTGAAATGCGTAGGAGAGGGTGCGAGTGATGCTGAGTGCTAGGTCTGAAAATCAGTCCCATACTTACCTGTCAGAGTCAGTCAGGCAAGTAGTCAGGAGGCCACAGTATTAGGGTTGAATAGAAAAATAATCTTGATTATAGATAACAGAGATTGTATTATAAATTTTATTATTAAAATAACTCATTTTCACATGTGTGGCATTCTCAATTTATTCGTAACAAATTTGCAAATCAAAACAGAAGACAAAGCTATAGGATTTGAACGAAGTTATAGAATCTTTTTAAGAAAGTTTAGAAAATGACAATATTTAAAAACTGGTCACTTGAAACCCTCATACACTGGTAGGAATGTAAACTAGCGCAGCTGCTTTGGGAAACAGTCTGGCAGTTCCTCTAGCATGTTTCTTTTAGGGGTGATAAAACTGTTCTAAAATTAGATAGTGGTGATAGTTGTACAACTCTTTGAATACACTAAAAATCTTTGAATTGTACACTTTTAAAATAGTGGTAAAATATACATAAAATAAAATTTATCATCTTAACAATTTTAAGTGTATGGTTCAGTGGCATTAAGTATATTTACATTGTTGTGCAACCATCACCACCATCCATCCCCAGAACTCTTTTCATCTTGAAAAACTAAAACTCCATACCCCATTAAACAATAACTTTCCATTCCCTCCTCTTCCCAGCCTTTGGCAACTACTGTTCTACTTTCTGCCTCTGTGAATTTGACTACTCTAGGGTACCTCATATAAGTGGACTCATACTTTGTCTTTTAGTGACTGGCTTATTTCACTGAGTATAATGTTCTCAAGGTTCATCCATGCTGAAGTATGTGTCAGAATTTCCTTCCTTTTAAAGGCAAGATAACGCTCCATTGTATGTATACACCACATTTTGTTTATCCATTCATCTATTGATAGACACTTAGGTTGCTTCTACCATTTGGTTATTGTGAATAATGTTATGAACATAGGTGTTCAAATAGATTTCAAGACCCTGCTTTCAATACTTTTGGGTATGTATCTAGTAGTGGAATTGTTGGGTCATATAGACATTCTATTTTTATTTTTTCGAGGACTTGCCATACTGTTTTCATAGTGGCTAAAATTTCACATTCTCACAAGCAATGCATATGAGTTCCAGTTTCTCCCCAGCCTTGCCAGCACTTGTTATTTTCTGTTTTAAAGAAATTCTTTTTTATGACAATCATCTTAAAGAGTATAAAATGGTACCTCATTGTGGTAGAGAATTTTTTTTTCACAAATTTGCATGTCATCTTTGCACAGGGGCCATGCTCATTTTCTCTGTATCATTCCAATTTTGGTATGTGTGCTGCTGAAGCAAGCACTCATTGTGGTTTTGATTTGCATTTTGAATTCTTAACTGTTAAAGGGTGAATTTTATGGTATGTGAATTATATCTCAATTTAAAAAGCTATTAATTGAGAGACCCTAGTAGCCCTGAACATACCTAATCCCCAGATTTTAGTTTCTAAATGTCTTTCTTCACTAAGGGGACCCAATCTAGGACAGAGAAAGTATGGGGTGAGCCTGTGACATTTCATTGTGCTGGAAAGCAAAGAAGTGCTCAAATAATGATGGGATATGTCTAAAAGACATTGGCCAAATTTGGGACAATCCAAGCATCAAAATGAATGACTGTAATTGACTGCAATATATCCTATAAATAACAATCAATGAATTCATGGTAATCACAAGGAGAAAAAGAGAGAAAAGTGATTATAGAAGAGTACTAGTGAATAGATGTAAAAGAAAAGAGAATTTAAAAACCACCATTTTGCAACTGCTAATGAAATAATTGGCTCAAATAAAGATTGGTCATAGATGCTACAGCCATTAAGTGAACAATTATTAGGAAACCAAATATTCACATGGTATCGTCTACTAAAACACTCATTGATTGCAAATGAAAACATATACCTTCGCAATGGGGAAATCTGGCAAACACTACTGTCAACAAGTGATCAAATTCAACATCACCAATTATAGAAAAACTTGATATATGTGTTTCTTAATATGACACAATATCACACACACGACATCAACTATTACATATTCTTACTAAAACATGTGGTCTGAATGTAATCAAGAGTCTCTAGATAGGATCTTCTTTTCCCAGGAATTCAGAGGATAATGGGACAAGCTAAAGAACACCAGGTAGGATATTCCATAAGGCAATTGACCTGAAATCTTAAAAAATTCAATACCATAAAAAAAGCAGCAGCAGCATAGAGACTGCTGTAGATTAAAAGACACTCCAGAGGCCTAATTAAACAATAATAACAACAAAATACCATACCTGTGCAGTAAGGTCCTCCTGCTGGCTACATATAGATTTTGTAAATTGATGCTAAAATGATTAGGTACATTATTTATCATGCTTCAGTGATAATCTAAAATATTTATTGTTAATACTATTTAATGAATGGAAAATTTTATTGAAATCTTTCATATTCCCTCCCCTACAGAAAAAGATATCATAATCACATAAATGACTGTCCACAAAAGCATATAATATAGCATGTGCTTCAAGATATTTGTATGATTTATCATTAAATCACAGATTCAGCCCGGAAGAAAACAGAAATGTATGGAATAATTTTTCATTTCACTAGGTATGCAAAAACCTGTTATTGTCATTAACTGTAGTATGGGCCACTCCATACGTAATATTTCTAGACAAAATTAAGCTTTTAAAATAGCACTGTCCAAAAGAAATATAATGCAAGCCACAAATGTGAGCCCCAAATTTTATATTTTCTAACAATCATATTAAAAAGTAAAAAGAAACAGGTAAAATTTTAATAACATATTTAACTCAATACATTCAAAGCATCATCATTTCAATAAGTAATCAATATAAAAGTTAACCTCCTTCGCTGTACTATTTTTGAAATCTGGTGTATAATTTACACTTTTCAGCACATTTCAATTTCAACTGGCCACATTTCATATATTCAATATTGGCTTATATGTTGGAAAGTGCAGATCTAGAATATAAATACTGAACTACTGAATCTAAATAAAATGAGTTTTAAGTGCTATAGATGAACAGCATCAAATACAAAATGTTTAAAAGTGAACTTTCCTAATATATATTTTTGATTTGCTTTTGCAGTAGAATTTTTTTTAGGGATGAAAAACTAAGCTGAAAAATTCCGTTTACCTACTAAGTGACTAACATTTTTGCATTTAGGATAAAAAAGTGGAGATAACAGTTGGTAGAGGAAAAGAACCTTCAATTTTACATATATGCATTCAAAATCATTAAACACTGAATTAGCTTATAATACAGTTTGCTTACCATAAGTGTCTGAATGCGAGGGACATAAATATTCCAAATTCTGCCAATTCTCCCTTCAAACCTGCCTTAGCATTTTTCCGTTTAGGTTCTCACTGCCCAAGCCTAAACCAAAGTTCTTTTTCACGGGCACCTGGGCTGGTAGAGAATGCTTCTCTCTGTTTTCTTTGCTTAGGAAGTTGTCCCAGCCCTGCCTCACAGATGCCACCAGATCTGTCTTTCCTTTTCACATTCCTTTGCTGCACAAAGACTCCTGGAGGTGCAGCTCCACCACCTCACTGCGTCCCAGCCATCCTGGATGCAAGGTTTTTATTATCTGGCCGAACCCTGTCTTTCTACCTTGAATGCCACCCACCTTCCCTCAGTATCCCATGCTCAGCCCTGATGTTGCACTTTCTGTCATGCCATTTCCCTCAGCTAAGACATTCACTCCTCCTTCTGTCTAGTTAAGTCCTATCGCCTTTCCTTGCCTGTTGTAAATTTCATTTCTTTCAAGGAAGCTTTGCTGTCTTGACTGTTGGCAGACTACTCTCACCTCCTTCTGCTCATGCTGGGTCACCTGTTGTCTAATGCCACTTACTGTCTCAGGATTTTCCCCATGTGTATCATAAGCTTGCTTGTGAGCCTGCGGTATCAGGTCACGGAGTCTCACATATTATTGCCTCTTTGGCAGCACCCCATGTGGGGCTGAGGAACAATATGCACTCATAGATACTCACAGAACTGCCTTCTCAAGGCTTCTCCACAATTTAGAGATATCTAGAAATTATAAAGACATACATAATGCTTGCATTTGAAAAAAAGTGTGAGACCCATGTCACTTCTGCTCATATTTCACTGATCCGAGACCAGCATGACATGACTGGGGTTGGGATATACTCCTTCTTGAGGAATTTCTACAAATTGCAGGGCAAGATATATAATTCTTATCCAGGAAAAAGGAGTCAAATAATCAAGAACAATAATATACTACTAAAGCATATCCAAACAATAAGGGCATTTTCCTACTTAATCACAACTCGTTGTCACCTCTAACAAAATAAACAATAATTCCTTAATATCATTTAATATCCAGTCTATATTTTAAAATTTCCAAATATCTCAAAGCTATATTTAAAATTCACTGTATTCAAACTAGAATCCAACTAAGGACTAATGTAACATGGTTACATGTCTTTACGTCTTTTAAAATCTAGGACAGTCAGGAGCCTCCATTTTTTCATCATGACGTGTTTTGTCAAAATACTAGAATAGTTGTCCTAAAGTATGTTCTACATGCTGGATTCGTTTGACTCCTCATGGTGCCAATTTACCCTGATCTATCTTTGTATTTCTCATAAAATAAAATTAGATCTAAGTAATCAGTTAAACTCAGTTTAAACATTTTTGGAAAGAATATTCATAGGTAACACTGTATTGTTCATGTTACATCACACCAGGAAGCATATGTCTTGCTGTCTTACCATGAAGGATAAGATTGATCATTGGGTTAAGGTGCTGACAACCTGATGCTTCCGGTGAAGATTTTTCCCTCTTGTAATTATACCTGTGGTGTGAGACTTGAACTATGTATCTCTCCACCAATCTTTCATTCAGAGGCTTTGGCATTCATTGATGAGCCTGCCTAAGTTAATTTTTTTGGGGGTTGTAGTAAAATGATTATTTTAATCATTACTTCTAATCATTGGTTAGCTGGCATTCTTGTATAAAGAGTGCTTTCTTCATCATCATGTCTAGTATGTATATGAGATAGATCGCCATTAGATTAAAATGAAAACTTTTAGGACCTTATACATTGAGTTTTTCATCTTTTTAAAAATGAATATTATACCATGAACAATTTTCTATATATTTTTTGAAAATAGTTTTGATGATTGTATAATATGAATCATGGTAATGAATGACTATGATGAGTATTAATTTAACAAAAATATACAGGATCTGAGCATTTTAAAAGTTTTTCATATTTCCTTGACTTTCATGGCCTTGACATTTTTAAAGATTACAGGGAAAGTATTTTATAGAGTGTCAGTCAATTTGAATTTGTCTAATAATTTCTCATGATTAGATTTAGGTTATGCATTTAGAATTTCTATCTGGCTCTTTAAAAAAAGTTTTCCTATTTCTTCATTGAGATTCTCTGTCTGTTCACTCATTTTGCCCATATATATATATATATATAT